TTATGAAACAAGATAAGGACTTTTTCAGACATTGGCAAAAAGACGAGTTTTCAGAATAGAGCCAACCACTTGAAGACTTTTATCCAGATTTCAAGAAAAAATCAAGAATTATTGTACGAAAAGTAGAAATTTTACTGTTTTCTTTTTGAAAAATTTGTAAAGAATCTTACTGTTTGATAAAGTAAGATTTGATAGCATAGCTTTTTACTGTTTTCTTTTTGACGTTTGGAAAAAAGCAAAGATTCCTTACTTTTGAAAAACGCTTCTTCTCTCTTTCTTCTCCTATATAAGGAGACCATTCTTTCATTTGTAAACACACAAGAAAATATATACAATACAAGCTTTGAATTCTCTCAAATATGTTCTAATTTTCTTTCTCTCCCGAAAGGGAAATTCTTAATTGTTCTTATTCTTAGTTAGAATAAGATCCCACAAAAATATTTTGTTTTAAAAACTACCGATGGATCATTCCGATAGGTATGTTTTATAGTTCTAAGATATGGTGCTAATAATTAATATTAGTTCCAGATCTTGTAAGAACAATTTCTGTTTATAAAATTTTTAATTTGTAAAAGTTTTATGATTTTTGTAAATATTTTTATGCTTCATGCTGAGTATATGATAAGAGCATGTCTTAACTCCAAGTTAAAAGTTTAAACTGTTTTTAAAATAAGCCCTGAGTGACCTCTCAAAGCGTAAAGGCCCAGTGAAGAGGCTAGGAGACGCATAGAAGAGGGAAAGGGATCACTGTTTTAAGAATTCTTGTTAAGGGAGTGCCAGTGGTGTCCTTACAAGAATGGAGTTAGGCCCAAGTTCATATATCTTAGATGGCATGTTTTAAAAAAAAAAAAAAAAGGATATTATTTTATCAAAAGAAAAAGAGATATATTAAGAAAAGTACAGATTAAAAAGAAAAATAAAGGAAAAAAGAAAATTGAACAAGAAAAAGATTTGGATAATTTTGAAGACAATAATTCATAAGAAGATGATATACAAAAAAAAAACAAAACAAAAAGTCCGTGCACGGAGGCCCAAAAAAAACTACAAAAAAAAATCGATGCACTCTATGCACGGGCGTAGTTTTTACCCCCTACTTGGAAAAAAATAAAATTTTAAATAATTTTAAAAAAATACAAAATAAACAAACTAAAAAAATTACAAAAATTTAAAATATATGTATAAATATTATTTTGTTAAAATTGAAAAATTAAGTTTTATTTAAAAGAAAAAAGAATAAAAAGGAAGTTTAAATTAATTGATAAAAAGAACAATTACTTCTTAAAAAAAATAATTAAATTATAAACTTTGTCTCTCCATGCATGAAGACATTTGCCTCCGTGTACGGAGGCTTCAGCTAATTTTTTTTTCCCTCCGTGCACGGAGACTAATGTCTTCGTGCACGAAGAGATTACATTTTTTTTTTGCTGTGTAGTTTTACGTTATAATATTTTGTTTTTCAATTTAAAATCTCTTTAATTCTTTTCTCTTCAAATTTTTCACTTACAAGTAATATGTGTAAAAAAAATTATGTCGCATATTATCTTTATCTTTTTTTCTTTTTTTTTATATATAAAAGTGATATTTTTCTTATATCCCTACTATATATATCTATATCGAATTGGGGGAAGAATGGAAATTGTGTTGCAGTAAATTTAGAGATAGTATACAATAAAATAAAATATATATCAAGCAAATGGCGTCGTTTTTATCCCCCAGTTGAAACAAAAAAAACAAAACAAAAATGTTACAGTAAAGATGGATCAAGACACTGTTGCTTTCTACAGTGCCATCACATTCCCCTTTTTATATAGTAGGGAAACATCTACCAAACATGTTCTATCTTTCTTGGTGAAAACCTCATTGTGTGAGTGGTTTTGAGAGTGTGTGAGAGGAAATCGTGTTTCTGTGATTGTGTAAGTTACAACTTTATGTGCTGAAGATTTGGGTCTAGCAATAGTGTTGACTATGTGAGGCAAGGGTCCAAAATTATGAGTCCTAACATTATGTACATCTTGTGCTGGATTTAATGCAAAATAATGATATAAAGTGATGTACTTTATCTATATTTCACGTGAGATTTGTTTATTAGTGGTATCAGATCTTTAGGTAAAGCACTTCGAAAAGATAAAGCATCGATTTAGGGTATTGTAAAGGGTCTCACATAAATCTCAGGGCTCTAAATTCGATCTAAAAGTTTTCGAAGCTTTGGTGCGGATCAATGAAGTTCTTAGGGCCTACCTGAAAGTTTTTTTCTCATCGATTTTGAGTGGCAACGTGTACTCAGGGTTGGAAAAATAAGTGTTTACTATTTATTTATTTTGAACACCGATTTTGAAAGGTTTAAAGATAACCTAAAATTTTTGTAGTGTAATTTTAATCGGTTCTCTCAATACATCAAATTAGTGAGTTTTAATCATTTCTCATATTATCATCTAATTTTACTCTTTATAAAATAATTATTTTCAACCAACATATTTTGTTCAAAATTAACTTGTAATAAAAAAAAATACATTAAGTAAATTATTTATTTATAAGCAAAAAATTAATTTATAATTAAAAAAATTACTTATAAGATAAAAAATCACTTTTATGTAAAAAATTGTTTATAAAGTAAAAATACTACAATTAATATATTAATTCACTTATAAAATATAAAACGTTACTTACATGTAATTCACTTATGTATAGAAATCATTTAAAAGTACAAAATTAACTTGTAATTGTAAAATTTACTTATAGTATATTACATAAAAAAAAAAAATCTTATAGGTAAAACATCAGTTACAAGTAAAAATAAATAAATAAATAAATAATAATAATAATAATTAATACAAGAAATTATAAATAAAAAATTTCATCAATGGGCACATATGTAATTTTATTCTTTTAATAAAAAAAATTTAGAATCAGTGTATAATAATAAATTTTTATTCACTAATTCACACCACAACTTTTATTATCTACACAACATTCTAATTTCATTTCAGGTCCTCAATCTTCACACAATGTAGCATTTGTTCTCTAACTTTTTTTCAATGAATTCTTATCCTCAACATTTCATTAATTAGCACATATCATCTCTAATAACAATTTTCGTCCAAAAAGTCTTTTGGAGGGCATAAATCGACTTACTTATCCATTATATTTTTTTGTAAATTAAATGTAAAAGTATGAAATAATACATTTTTTCCTCATTTCAAAGCATCTAAACACAATATTTTGATACAAATCATCATCAAGAACAAGATGTGTTGCTAGTTGATGGATATCGTGGGTAAAAATTAAAGTAAAAAAAATGAAGAATATAAATGTTATAATGAGAAACTATTGAGGATCTTAAATCCAATTAAAATGTGGTGCTAAAAAAAAATTGTGATATAAGTATAATTAGCCGTATAATAAAATCCCAACGATTGGACGGACTTTTTTAAAAATCGCTACTAAAATTACTCAAAATCTATTCACTCATAAACGTTCAAAATCGATACTTTAAAAATGCCACATAATCGTACCAAACTCTGAAGCGGATTCTTATTGTTCTTCCAAATATGTAGTTAGATCCATGTAAACTCTAGCAATTCTCTGAGAAACCTACTCTAGTTTGACCAAATTTGTATTGCCCCCAAATTATCCAAGGTATTGTTTTATGGTAGTTGACATGTAATTTAAATGAATAGCGTGGCATGTTGTGTGGTATAAACTTAATAAATTAAAAAAGGATTATGAAAATGTTCCTATTTTGCAACTACTAAAATTATGTCACGTAAACTGACTACTGCAATCGTTGATTATGAATAGTACTATTTAATTTGAATTATTTTAGGATTTTATATGCATGATTAATTTAGTTAGGACATAATCGAAGTAATTTTGTTTCCATAGTAATGGACTTTTTAGGAAACTTTTGGAGAAGTTTGAGAAATACATTTAAAAAAAGTTCTTAGAAGCAAATAATTCTATGTTTCTAAACTACTGGTTCAAGTTCAACATATTTATTTAAAATACTCTACAAATAAACAATATTCATCAGAGCCGACTAGGGATAAGGATGAAAAGGATAGCACAAAGGCAACAAGTTCGATTAAAGCTTATGTGCCCTTAATTAGTTTTCTTCAAAGACTGCATAAATACAGGCTTAAGAATAATTTGCAAAGTTCTTGGACGATTCGAGAGGCTTCACATAAACATTCCTTTCATTGATACCATATTGTAGATTCCAAGTTATGCAAAGTTCTCAAATGGGATGCTATCAAAGAAAAGATGACTTAAAGAATGGAGATTGTGGCCTTAAATGAGAAATGCAGCACCATTTGCTTAACAAATTACCTCCAAAATTAAAGATTTATGGAGTCTCAAAATACCTTTCTCTATTGGAATAATTAAATTTTTAATGCTTTGTGCAATTCAGGTACAATTGCAAATTTACTGCATTTTTATGTCTACAAGAAACTTGGTTTAGGAGGAGTAAAAGTATAACTGTGTCTGTATCTACGGCTTGCTGATAGATCCATCAAATATCTATGAGGCATGGTTAAGAACGTGCTCATCGAAGTAGGCAAAATTCACCTTTTTATAGATAACATTATATACCAATAATTTTGGATCGATCATTCCTAACGACAGGTCGAACCTTAATAGACATTGAAATATGTGAGCTGATCTTGTGTGGCTATGAACAATAAGGATTCAATATGTACATCACACCCCAGCAAAGATCCAACCTCGAGGAGTGCCATCAAATTGACAATGATAATAGTAATAAATGGAGCTATGCATACAAAAGGAAAATTGGTTGATTACTTGTAGCCCTCAAATATGAGAAAGGTGCATTCACATTTATATGGTGAAGAAGAAAAAAGGCAGCAACTTCAAGCAGTGTAAGGATGGCAAAGCCCGATTTGAGCCGCCTTGAGTGATCACTACCGAAAATTGAGTTCAAGCCGAGAAATTTTAAGCTTAATGGGAGGTTGAATGCATAACCGACGCGTGGGAGCATTGTGATGTTTACGGACGAGGATAGAATGATGAATCTGTATCTCGACACGTGTCCGGGGTTCGTGTCAGACAGTCTGAACAGGGTGAAGTGGACGAATTTAGCCTACAAGCAGATGGTACAAGGTGATGCTGCGGCGGCGGAGGAGGAGTTGTGGTTGGTGATAAACAAGGGGGTGCTGCTGCCGGTGGGTTTGCCCTCTTTCACATGCTGGGTGAAGGTGGTGAAAAATCCCACCATTTCTCTCATGGTTCCATGTGATGTGTGGAGAATGGAGCGTGGAGGGTTTTCATGGAGACTTGATGCAAAGACTGCCCTATCTTTGGGTTCATAAATGCTAATTAACTTGGGTTCATAAATGCTAATAAACTTTAGTCAATCATACTCCTCTCGTGAATCATTTCTTGAAGACGGAACTTTTGATACTATTACAGAAAATTTACCCTTATGAAATGATCTAGGAGAAATGAAGTACTTTCTAGGAATGGAAGTAAATCAATCAAAAAAAGGCATTTTCGTTTGTTAACAGAGATATGCCAAAGAGATCTTGAAGAAGTTTAACATGGAGAATTGCAAACTTGTTAGCACTCCACTGGTTCAAAATTTGAAATTGATGAAAGAAGATGGAAGCATAAGAATTGATGAAAAGGTGTACATAAGCTTGGTAGGATGTTTAATGCATCTAACCATAACAAGATCAAATATCATGTTTGCTACGATTCTCCTTTCCAGATTCAGACAAAAGCCAACTAATTTACTTTGTCAGGCAGCAAAAAGAGTATTGAGGTACATCAAAAGGACTGCAGAATTGGGGACGTGGTTTAGGAAGACAGAAAATCTGATTTTAAGTGGTTATACTGATAGTGATTGGGCCGGATCTTTTGATAATATGAAGAGCACTTCTGGGTATGCATTTTAACTGGGATCAAGCATTGTTTGCTGGAATTCAATGAAGCAAAAAACTGTTGCTCAATCAACAGCAGAAACAGAGTATATAGTAGCAGCATAAGCAACAAATCAAGCAATATGGCTGAGGAAAATGCTGGAAGATCTTAATCATAAACAATGTGATTCAACTATCATTTATTGTGACAACCAATCAGCAATAGCAATGGTTAATAATCCGGTGTTTCATGGGAGAACAAAGCATATTGAGACTCCTAAAACACAAGTATTTCAATAAAGATAATAGCCAATTAATAATTTTTCGCTCCCTTAATTAGTTTGCAATGTAACTCAATTTGATCGTGTATAAGTGTAAAATGAGTTAGATTGAGTTGCTTTCAGACCGAGTCATGTCAAACTTTAGCTGAACATGTCATCAGGTGTAACATTTTTAAATTATTTCTTTTTCAATTACTTAAAAAAAAAATTCTTCTGAGATTAAAAAGTTGTTTTTAGACCTATTATGATAATTTATTGGAAGTATATTCTCGAGTTGGAAGAATCTTTGGATAAATTGCCCAAAGTGAGCTCTTTCATGTAAAATAGAAGCAGAAAACCTATCAACAGTGCTAAAAAAAAAATGTTGAAAAAAAAAGGCCAATGGGCAAAAGCTAGGAGAATTACGTCAACCTATCTCTTGAGTCAATATATATAACACGATCTTTTCTCACTTCTTAGCTTAAATTAGATGATCTAGTCTATATTTAGACCTCCAATTGTACCATGGTCTCGAAATTAATTGTTTATAGAATGAGATAATATAAGGGTGGTTGGTGAAATGGTAGGAGTCACAAATTTAAAATCCATACGTTTTTGAAAATTCAAGTACATGTCTCTTAGATAACGCGTAAGGACAGCTTAAAGCCTGAGTTAGAGCTGCCTATTGTCGACTCATAAAACAGTGGAAAATTTCTCACCATAATGTATATACTTAAATTTGGTGCATACAAAAGAAATGTAATTTACAATACATTTGGGGCATATGATTGTCTTTAAAGAATAGGTTTTTGTTGTTCAATTTAATGATATTTGACTTAACGTACTAAACTATATAAATGTATATCTTTTAAATGCATATTATGTCATATCCTGCCTCTCAAAGAAAAAAATCAAGAAAGAAACGCAAAAAATGTGGTAACTTTATGAAAAGCTTTCTTCAATTTTTATTTTCGAAAAATAACTTGAATACATTTGATGTTCTATCTTTTATTGCACTAAATACATTTGGTGAGTGAGGCACTGGCAAAATTCAATTATTTATTGTCAAACGTATGAAAATGTGTTCTATCTTCTATTGCAATAAATACATTTGGTGAGTAGGTGTATGGGAAAGGAGTTAATAATGTTGTCATATTCTTTTATGAAGGGGACTACATGGTTTTCAAGTGGACAACCTATAAAAAAAAGAATTACTATAAAAAAAAGAATTATGTTTCTTGGACAAAGCCAATCCAGTCCCAAGTCCAGGAGCACCATGTGACGGCCCCTATTGGAGAGGTGCTTGTTGAGGACGGGCACCCCTCCATGGAGGGGCATCACTTGGCGCCCCTGGATAGGGCTTGGATTTGGCCCTATCCATGTAGCAGGGCTGTAAAACAAAAGGAGTTAAAATTTTGTTCATTATATTGTCTAACACTGTATATTACTCCTTTCGTTCCAAATATATAGATTTGTTTTGTTTTTTACATTGATTAAGAAATCTTATTTAATGTTATTGGAAAAGAAATTTTTGTCAAGAATTTTCTAGTTTACCCCTATTTAATTTTCAACAACCAATAGTAAACTATTGATGAAATTAGTAATTAGACAAAGTAAATAAGGTCATATTAGTAAAGTAACAAAACAAAATAGTCTAATGTCCTCAAATTAGAGTTTAATGGATTTTAAAATTTTGTGTAAATTGAGGTGTCCTCAACTAGATTAAAATACAATTCATCAAAATTTAAGTGTCCTCAATTTAGATTTTTAGAAATGCTTAAAAATTTAGGTGTCCTCAACTTAAATTTCAATAGTTTCTTAAGAAATTTAGGTATTCTCAATAACCACTTAATTTAGAAGAATTTCAATAATTTGATGGATTTGAATAGATTTTAAAAGATTTCAAGCCATAAATATAAATACCCAAACCCTATAACAATTCTATACTCAAGACTCACGGGGGTGTCCCCAACTTAAATTTTAATAGATTTCTGAATATTTATAAATTCTCATGGACTTTATGGAATTCAATAGAATTTAACAGATTTCATAAGATTTGCATGAATTTCTATTTTGCAGATTTTAATGGATTTTCATGAATTTTATAGATTCTCATGGATCAGTAGACTTCTCTATTATAATAATATAATTGTATTTTTATCTATTCAATTGCCAAAGCAAATCGTTAACTGAACCCCGTAAAAAAAATTAATAATAAAATAAAAATAAAAGTAAAAAAATTAAATTAAATTAAATAAAAAGAGCTAGACCAATTATTTCAAGTTTATTTTTATTTGTGAACCAAATTATGTCACGACGAGCAACTTTTGGATGCATATTATGTTGAAATATGCAAATTCTAATGGTTAATCAAAGTCCATCTACACCTGTTTTTAGTTGCTTTTGAAACGTCACTTATCTTGACTCCCATCTCCCGTGTAAGCAAGTTTATTTGTAATGTGATGAGAAATTGAATACTGAAAGTCAAGATGTCTTACATTAAAAAAACAAAATTATCGCTTATCAAAAGAAACTCGTAAATTGTCATCTAAAAGCAAAAAAGAAAAAAAAATTATAAACTTGTCTGAGCAGAATTCAATTTCCATTAGTCTTCGTTCACAACATCTACCCACATATTTGAAGCTATATTAGATCTCCATTCATTTGCATGCTTCTTTGTTGCTCTTGAGTTTCAAATATAGTTTCATCCTCTTCAATTACTAGTAATGATGATGTAGACGAATCTTCACTATATGATTCAACAGGAAATTCATCAGAGCGACACTCTTTGCGAAGAAAATTGTGCAATCCTGCACATTCTAACACCATCTCTGCTTGTGTTTTAAATGGAAATGGAGGTGCTGATTTAAAAATCGTGAATCGCGACTTGAAAATGCCAAATATTCTCTCGATTACATTTCTTAAGCTAGCATGACGAAGATTGAATAATTCATTAGCATTTTCTGGATTACGACCCTGGCCATCAAAATCCTTGAGATGATACCGAACACCTCGAAATGGAGCTTCCACAAGAAAATATTTACCTAAGTATACAATTCATGCATAAATCATCTCATGTCACGAAAAAGATAACTTATAAACAATTCAAGAAAATATTGATTATCTCTTGGTATTTTAAGTCCATTTCTTCTTACTAATGCATCATTTAGTAGTTTGGAGTCATGAGCTGAACCTTCCCATCCACTAAGGATGTAAATGAATTCCAAATCAAAATTGCAAGCTGCCAATACATTTTGTGATATTGTTCCATGACGATTACGATAGTTGTTCATGTCATGCCCTGATATCATAGCTGGTATGTGTGTGCCATCAATAGCTTCAATACAATCCTAAAATGAACATAATATTTTAATGATTTATTGATTATAATAATAATAATGTTATGAACAATATAATATAATTTACCTTAAAATAAGGATAAAATCTTGTACTTTCTCTTATTTTGCTTGGCACTGTAGGTCCAGGTTTGACCATCATATCAGGTGCAATTGTGTTTAAAGCCTTCAAAATTTTGTTGAAATTTCTGCTAGATGTGGAATGTGCTCGACCAAAAGTCTTTCGAGTGAGACAATATCGAGAATTCTGACCAACTGTAAGTAAGAATGTTGCAAGCATTTCTTCAACACATATATATCGAGTATCCCACAGTGGCGTTTTTTCTCTTATGATATTGCAAAGCTTTAAAAATACATTTGGATACATCCTATGTATTTGTCTGAACATTTCAGAATCTTCTTTCAATACCTTATGAATATAATCATATCCAACTATAGTAATTGATCGTCGAAGTGGACGTTCTATATATTCAGCATACATGATAATCATCAACTCCTTTAATACTTGAAGTATTCCTTGAAGGGCCATTAAAACAAACTTGATAGTTTCATCGAATTCTTCCTCAGTTTCTTGTCCCGTTCTTTCTTCCATTTCTTCTTCCATCTAGGAATACATAGTTTCTTAAAATTTAGAAATTCACAATGCAAAAATATATACATCAACAACTATGATACTAACATATACCTAACCTGTTCAAAGTAAAATTTAACAAAGGAACTCAAATAAAAACTCATTCCATATTGTATTTTATCCAAAGTTTAAGCAAAGTTAACAACCAAATCAAAGTTTCAACAAAGTACTCAAAAATCAGATTATCCTAATAAATTCAAAACATTAAACATTTACTCAAATAAAAACTCATTCCACATTATATTTTATCCACTCCTAACGCTCTTCATGTGATATTTTCAAAAAGGCATCTTTCATTCCAAACTTATGAATAAAAGCAGGTGCTTTGTAGCGAGTGTGATTATCCAAATTAGGAATCTCTTTAATAGCATCCCAGATATTGTTCTTGTCCTCCATTTCCTTTTTCTCTCTATCTCTTTCCCTTTTCTCCATCAACTTAAACATTTCTCGAATATCAGTTGCAATTCCAGTAATAGAATTCGTGCGAAGATAAATCTTTTCTTGAACATCAGCTCGGGTCATGGTCTCAAATGAGCTAGGATTCTCGTGTTAAGTTCTAGTTCGCTTTCTATTGCCAATATTTTCTACAGGCAATTCTTTGTTAGTTTCCATAGTGCACGGGAAAGACATATAACTATTAGATGATGGAGCATTGGTTGAATGATCCTGTTGAGTTTGTACGTATGCCTCTTGACTCTCATCGAACACATAGTCATCAATTGTAACATGCCTATTTTCTTCAACACCATATATTCTTGCATCTGATTCATCACCCAGACTAATTGAGTTTCTCCCTGTAGCAGTAACATTGTCAATTGCTATTCTTAAGTCTTCATAGTCAGGAAAGGTGTCGGTACGAAGGTGCCTCTGTTTTGGATGGGACTACCAAAGAACAAATATAGTAAAAACTGATAAGTCACCCTTTACTGTTAAAGAATTATAATTTAATCCTAATCCAAAAATTGTATGAACACTTACCTCGAAGTAATTATCCCACACTTCATCACTAGCTATGAACTTTTTTGTGATTAGGTCCCATCCAAAACCAGAGCTATACCGCATAAGTTCAGAGTATTTGTGATATTGTTGCTTGAACCAACTCAATCGACTTTGGTACATAGCATAGTTCTTCTGACATCCAAGCTTTTCATTTAGAGCAGGAAGTATTTTTTTCTCAACCACTTGTTTACTTAGAACCCCATTGGTATTACACCATCCACGATTGGCGGCATCAACCATAAGTTCTAACAATGTAGAGCTTTCTTTCGCGCTCCATGCATTATACCCAATTCTACGTTTTCCTTGCGACTCTTCCATTTATGTCACACCCCCAAATTAATATTGATATCTATACACAACCTAGACATAGAATTTTACATATATATATTTTTTTGAGTTTGTTAACTTCTAATCACCTGTGACACGATCATATAATATATCGAAACCCAAAATCATATCGCCATAATCCAACATGTATATTCAGAGCTTATAAACATGTCTACAGGCCATTTCAAAAGTACACTATATAGGATTCCAAAATATAACCCAACAGATGGCAGCCTACAAAATAACCCTACAGGTCGTCATCCATGTACATCAAACTCTGGAATCCTGTAGGAGCTCCACAGCTAGCCATGCTCTCTATGTAGTTCCATGTTCACCTACAATGCAAGAACTACATAAGCCAATGCTTAGTAAGCAAAATCATGCATGTCCTGAACATGAGTAATAACGACATATGACACCATGCCATTTACTTTAAATATCACGATAAAAAGTATCATATTTCAATATTCGTCAAAGTCAACTAGAAATCATTTCACTTGAAATCTTTCATTTCATTGGGCCCTTGACCCACCTACTATGCACCGGATAGAGCTCTGCATAATATCAATATCAATAATCAAATGGCCAGTATGAAATTGACACCGACAAGTGGACCATCCTCTCGTGACCACTAGAGGCCCATCCCCTGACTACCCCTATGATCACCCAAGAAGTCTCCCACCCGGCAGCGCCAATAATCATAACAAGGGCATAGTATAGTGGTCTGCCCTCCCGTGATCACCAAAGGCCCATCCCCTATCTACCTTTGCAATCACCCAGGAAGTAACACCCG